CTATCAAAATCTGCGTGTAAGAAAATATTTCTTATTTTAAATATCTTAGTAATTAATTTAAGGAATACGTTTCTGGAATTCCTGGATGAAATGATACCTCTCAAATGGATATCTCTCATATGTCAGATAAAATTCCTTTATAATCTCTGTAAATATTGTATCGCGTGCTGCAAAATTTTTAATATGTTCTTTTATAATTTTGCATAAGAATATCAACACAGAACTAGAATAAGCTCAAATTTTCTCGGCTGCGCAACATTTTTCCTTGCAAAAAGTTAATTTAATTACCACGTATTTTAACGAGATTGTAAAAGATAAATGTTCAACAGTGGAATGAATTGTTTCGTGCTATATCGCGACGCGACGCTACAAAGAAACACGGAAAAATTCTTAATTCACAGTTATACTGTAAGCAAGGCATTGAAGCTATAATGTGATTAAATACAAAGTAGACTACGTAAAGTAATTTTACGATTGAAATCAAGTTGGATCGTATAATCGCGGTAATTGTCTTGTGAGTAATATAAAGATGAGATTTATTTTATTAATTAAAAGGCAAGTAGTCAGAGATATGCATATCTCTTCACTCCGCACGTTCACATTTGCATATAGCTCTCGGGATATCGTTATAAGATTTATATATGAAGATACAGAAGGTACTTTTCAGGAAAAAAACAAATTGTCTATCATTTTTCTACACAGATTATTCTGAATATTTGATTTTTTAAAAAGTAATTATATAACTAACTTTCATGTTGATTATAGTCGTCGTGTAGAATTCATTTGGATTTAATGAATTTGGCATGAATCGTTTGAATTGCCCACACAAACATGATCAGAAGAAAAGGACGGTGGGGTGACGTGGCGCTGTGCCGAGCGACGACGGGACGTTCTGCACCCAGACGACATTTTTATATTCAACAAATAATTAGTTTTGCGTCAATTTTTAATATATTACACACATTAAATTTAATTAATATTATTTAACATCCATTATTTTTAAATCGTTTTTGGTTGTTTTCCATAAATAGTGTTTATATTATTTTTCAATAACTATACGAAAAGAATTAGTTCTTAAAATTTACCCTGGAAAGTATAGTAGTTATGGTACAATATAATATTTAAAAAATTTCTACCATGCACTTCAGTAAAATTAATCAAACTTATTTTATATTTTATTGTAGTTTTATTAATGAATGTAAAAGATTTATATAAAAATTCTTCGAAATATAGATAATGATACCGCACGATTGCCATATATATTTTCAGGGTATAAATTTTAAGAAATAATTCTTTCCGTGTAGCAGATCAAGGTTTTATTTATTATATATTGTTTATTTAATTATAATTCATCTATGTGATGCAATAACAGAATAAAATAATACCATAGGTATACGGTAGAATGAATAGTGTACAACACGCTGACAATGTCTCCACCATTTACGGAAGCATCATCCGCACAGATAAATTTTGCCGATCGATGTAATCTATTCCAACCAGCTATCAGGTTAGCGTAAAATTCGCACGATGATTCTCCCTCTTCAGCCCCTTTGCCCCATTCACTCGGTTCTTCCTCTCGCACCCTACTACTTCCCTCGTTCTCTCTTTCGTCTTTCTACCCTCTAACGGGGATCCACCGAGGCCGATCGAGGTCAGACACTTGGATTTCACACGATTTATAATGCAGTCCTTTCGAATAGGATGGAATACGAAAGAGGGTACGAGATAGGTACGAATCAGAAATACGATCATCGTATATGCGGATTCGTTCGCGAATATTCTCGCACGCGCCTCGAAAATATCCCTGAAATCAAACAAAATACCATGACCAGTATTCATAGTCAGTTTTATATTTAATATCATCTTAAATACAGTTTTAAGATGTCATGAATTAATCACAGAACTATATTAGTATTTTAAGATATTCATAGATGGTCTTGAATTACGAAGAAGAATGGACTCTAAAGGAACAGTCTATATATGTAACATATTGGACGTCTATGATTATCATTTGTATTCATCTATTAGTTACCAACTCAAAGAAATTAATAAAAAATATTACATAAAAAATATTAGCATGTTACCAAAGAAAAAATAAATTTTTTTAAAGATATTTATTGTTTTATGCTTTCCGGTAAAAATTACCGGTAAAATTACCGTAAAAATTCATGTGCATATTAAAAATAAAAATAAATTTTTTAGAAAGCTATTTTTCCACTAAACAAAGATAATAATAAAGAATTTCATATTTTGTAGTTCTTCAAAGTTAGCAAGGTTCAATATCATTATCTAATTTTTGTTATTTAATCTTACAAAAAAAACTTTGATAGAATATAAAGTTTATATTTAAAAATGTAAAATTTTTAACATAAAAAATATAATACATTTTTATTTTTAACGTATTCTCTTTCATTTTGTTATCAAACACGTATTCGTATTACTACAGTAAACTCTTGTTATTATGGTAATTTTTATTGCAATTTTTTCAAGGTACAATATAAACTATTATAAGCAATTTCGACACAATTACGAAAATGCTCGGTGTATGCAAGTTTCAAAATGTCGAGCGGTTTACAACGAGAGCATGTTTACTTCAGTATACTATAGCCTAAACAATCTCCGATAATACCTCGACCGGAGCCAACCACAACAGCAGACGTCGAGTTTGGCATTACAGGGGCTAAATCGCGTCAAACCAATCAGGGCACGGCCCACGGCTATGAGATGTCCTTCAATCACTTTCCTACCCTCCTCCTCCTCCATCGTCGGTACACGCATTCTCCCCTATTCTCCCCCCAATTGTTCCCATGATTTGTGTTTGATACTTGTAGTGTAATTTATTGAAAAAAGATACTTACAAATAAATTTATCATAGACTTAGGGAAGTGTCTATAATAATTATCTGCTTTATTAAATAAATTTCGATGATATGATATAAAAATATTTTTCTTAAAATTTAATTTTAAAAGAAATAGTAAGAATAGCAAATAATCTTAATGAATTGTTGGCAAAAATAAAATATAATAGAAGGAAAATCAAAATTTAATAAATTTAATATCACATTTATTGTAATGTTATTACAATAAAAATATCAAACAGTTTCAAATATTGTTCAAAATAAAACTTCTTTAAAGTCTTAAATGTGTCTCGTAATATCACAATTTATCTTTTTTATCATAATATTTTATTTACATACTTAAATAATGCATGTCAAGTACATGGATATGCGTTTTAGTCATTCAAATAATTCCTTCATTTACATTATCTTTAAAATTTAAATAATTTTAAGTAAAAACAGTTTAACAGTAATAATACATTTTCTCTCTAAATGCATCATCTAAACGGTATAAATGTAATACAATTGTATTTAATGTCTAATTGTACATGAAATTCTCGTTCTCTTCATTGATGGAATAGGTTCAAATGAATGTGAACAAATACGAAAATGATTTGTTTGCAAAATCGCATCTGGATTTTATTTGACACAAGTAATGTCTCGTTAAGGACTTGGCAATCTCATAGTTCCCGTTTGCCATTCTTTTTTCCTATTCGTACTTTTTCGAATGTAGAGAGAAAAGGATGAGTACCCTATCAATATCAAACACAAAAAGTGGAATTCCTGAGATAGCGGCTCGACGGATCGTTGGAAGAACGGCCGGGCTGAGTTTACAAGGATACGGAGTGCGTTCCTTATATCAGGAATTTCCTATTTCTGATATATGTCTATGTAAAACGTTAATAATTCGTAAAATCATTCACTTTTTTATTAAATAAATCAATTAATATATAAAAGAAAATGTGTGTTATTGATTAAGTAAAACTATAAATCACAAAAAATATTGTAATTAAAAATCATAAGCGTATATACAATAAAAGTACACACACAGACCCACATAGAAGTTATTTTTTAAAAAATTCATAAGTATGTGTGCAAATTTTGATTTTGATCTCAGAAAAATTCGAAACAATGTCACAATGACAACAATTTAGCTCTCTATCGATATATCGATACAATGCTAACGAAATCGTAGGTAAATAGTGATAGGTGAATGCCATCTGCCGTTTAAAATGTCAAACGGACATTTTTGAAGATGATGATGATGACGTATCTTAATGTAATGTAATGTAATAAAATGTTGACATTTCTGATTTTTTGTGTCGCAATATGTCCGTTCGTGAGGTACGTAGAAAATAAAAATATATTTTATTATAGTTAAAAATTACAGAATAAACTTTCTAATGGCTTCGTTATAATAATAGATAATCACACACGTAATATATAGTCATATTATCATTTGTATCTAAGTGATATAACAAGGCCGAAATAAAAGACTTTTAATGAAGCTAATTATAAGTTTGTACAATATGTATTGAAAGCATTTATATGTATATTTTGTTTATAAAAGACAGCTTATGAAATAGCAAGCGATCATCATCGCACCTCGCATTTGTGATATACATGTCTATCGGTACAGTTCAGTTATATATACTATATACAAGTTACGATTGATTTATGTAATTAAAAAATTTGTTAGTTAGAGTACATCTCATTGCATCATACATACAAATGCAATTTGTAACGAAAACTATAACTGGGTTACTTTCACACAATCCGCGCAATACGCTCTAAGGAAGTTGCTGTCAAACGCAACTTATCGCATTTCACGAAGCAAATATATTTCGTTTTAAAAGTCAAAATAGAACACCGTGAAACCTATTTTATTAACAATAAAAATAAAAAAAACGTTGAACGCGTCATCACACCGTTTTTTTTTTCTGAAATTCTGTTAATGTGAACTTATGAGATTTTAAGTATTACCTTACTGAAATATCTTTGTTGCGACTACATCATAAGACTAATTTATTCACAACGAAGACAAAACAACGACTTTGGAAAAAATAAGTAACTTTTCAATAAATGTTTGATTAAAAGAATACCTGTGTAGTATAATACACCTTTTGGGTTTTTGCGTAGTTTTAATTTGCAAGACGAACTCGTATCTTGTCGGAGAATCTTATTTCGTAGCTTGAGTGCCATAACATTATTGCATATAAACCATACGCTACAATAAAAATGAGACATTCTTTGTTAATCGTGCTAATTCTATCAATGGCAATTGTGAGTTTTGGAATCAAAGTGAATGTTATACATCAATGGAAATACATTGATTATGAATGGGAAAGTCAGGAACAGAAGGAAGACGCGATAAATTCTGGCACTTACAATCCTTACAAAAACTTTTTAAACGGTGTAGACAGAGCGAACGGTAGGTTGATTTCGAAATATTATAACATAATAATTTTGTACAAAAATAGTTGCTTTCCATTTACACACAAGTGAAACTGAGTCTGTAGTGAGCTGAGTATGAAATACTCAGATTGATGATGTCACTACTTGCTTATTTTAATAAAATAAACAAATAACAACACAGGTTTATAACTTCACTTTTAAAGTGAATCTACGAGACTCAATAAAGCACACGGTCTCGAGCTTGTGCAGATTATAGGTTAAAAACTCAGTTGAATCTCACTTCTCAGAATGCAAAAGGAACGGAGCATTCAACTGAGTAATGACGTCACAAATGAAAATTATCTGAGAATCGGAGTAAATGGAAAGCAACTAATATGAATATTTTTATTAACAAAGACTTATAACTTAAAAGAATTTAACTACAATATTTTACATTATAAATCTATATGTTTTATTATACGTGATGTAATGTGTATATTTACACGGTGTTTCATTTATTGCATATCCGAAATCATAAATCTAGGTTTATTACTTTATTAAAAAAATTTAAAGCTGCTCTTTATACTGATACTCGCATTTTATTATTGAAACTGATGTAGTGTATAAAAATTATTTTTTTATTATACATCTATTATACATACAAAACAATCTGTATACTCAGAAAAATATCTATACTTACTAAAATTCTATTAAACTATTTTATTATTATTATTTACTAAAATTTTATTTAAGCAATCAAAATTCTGATTGACATAATCAGAATTTTCTGATTGGTCTATTTTCTCTTATATAACCAGACATTTTTTCCAAAGTATACGTATACGATGCCTTAATTCTGTTAATGCAACAACATTACTATTGTCATGAAATTAGAAATATAAGTATATCCTTTGGTATATGACATAAATTTAAAAAAGACTCTTATAGATGGTAGAGTATTTGTTACTGTTTCGAAATATTTGAACACTGGTGTACCTGCTACTTTGGCGACAGTAACTAATAAGACAGGACCAGGAGGTCCTCTTTTACGTCCATATCCAGATTGGAGTTGGCATAATAATAGCAGTATGTGCGATGGTATTATAAACGTTTATAAACTGCATGTAAGTGTTAATATCTTTCATTCAAATGGTTATCATATTTTACATTATTAAAATGTGTGTTTAACAGTTGATTACGTATATCTACATACCTATGTGTATACACAATAGTCAACTTGATAACAATAGATGAAATAGAATTTTTCTTTTTCTATTTAGATTCGATGCAATCATATCTTTGTTCTGGATAACGGCCAAATCGGGTCCTGTCAAATTTGTAAACCAAAACTATTGATCTTTAATTTAAAAAATGATACGCTGGTTAAAACTATTTACATCCCATTCACTATTGTTGCTAATCAAACGGACTATGGATTATTGGTAAAGCCTGTCGTTTATGTTCCCGGAAAATGTGAACGATTACTGGATGAAATGATTGTCAGTATACATCATCTTTTAATAATATTTTGATTTCATTTTGATCACAATAGTATACACTATATGTAATAAAAAGTCATACTATAGTATGTAATGTATTCTGCAATTTAAATGATTTAATAACATAAATATACGCAGATATTTATGGCTGACACAGGAGGTTACGGTTTAGTAGTGTATGATTCATCTACAGAACGTATGTGCAGAGTCGAATCTGATTACATGAAACCGACTGATATCTATTTCTCTATAGCACACACAAATTTTACTTATGTGGGCGGTATTTACTCTATGACAATTCTTGAAGAACGCAAGTATTCCCTTTTTAACAATATTAAATAATAAATATTATTTCAAATATAGTATATAATATTTATTTTTATTATATTGCATGTGTTAATAATTTTGACTTCATTTTTTAATTAACACATTTTTATTCGTAAAATTATTATTTTTTGCTCTCTCTCTCTCTCTCTCTCTCTCAATATTCATTTTTAATTTAAATACATTGATAATCCAAAACTTTCTTACAAATAATTATAATTAATGCTATTTTCGTATTTGTATTTTAATATTTATTTTGTAAATATTTTAGAACTCTTTTATGCTCCTGTATCAGGAAAAGAAATATATAAGATAAAAATAAAAACACTATTAAAATGTCCAAATAAAAAAGAAGCTAATAAACAAACTCAACTCGTTCAAAAATTATCGAGTCAAACAGTCGACATTACGTCAGCAAAATATTCAATATTTTATAGCGATACTATGGGACTGTCCATTTTGGGCACAAACGTTTGTAAGAAATCTGGTGAAAACACGGTACAATATCTGAATGCAACAATTCTTTATACATATATCTCCATTGATGATATATTATTTTAAATTCTATTAAGGAGATCCTAAAGTCTTGTATTACCGACTGAACAATATAATCTTTGTATCGTAAATACTTTTTTTGTCATTCGCAGATTCGAAAATCCTTTTACAGGATTAATGTATACGCATTGATACGTGCCTGTGAGGTAGAATATATGCTGAAAACGATAAAAAAATTTCAAAATTGAGTTTTTTACCATTTTTTAGTCCAATATCCAGAGCTGTCACGTCGTTGCACGTCAAAACAACACTTGTTTAATATAAAAGCTGCGCAATCTGTACTTAAGACACAATCCACAGGCATGTAGTTAGCGTGAAGAAACAGCGTCGAGTGTTTAGAATTATTAGACACTCTACGCGACGAATTTACGATACGAAAATTGACAGGTAATGCAACTGCGTTACTACATTATTGTCTGCGTGAGATATGTGCGGTAGTATGTAAAAAATATGTCGATGTGTTGTAAAACAGCGACATTTGACGATTTCATTAGAGTTCGAACTTTGCTTTAGGATCTTTTTAATGATTATTATATTTGATAATTATATTGTTATATGACTGTTATATTTGATAGAACAATTTTATCATTTTAAAAGAAAATATTAATTTTAAGGTGTTACTTGCTCAAGATAAAGAAAAATTTCAATCTGTAAGTTCGATGACAGCTTCAAGCTATTGGGATAAGCTAATATGCATGTCAGATAGATTTCAACGTTTATATACACTAAATTTAAAAGAAATAAACTTTCGCCATTTTGAAATGGAATTATCAGAAATACTAAAAGAGATGGATCAAAGTGAATAAATTACTACATTAAAACTATGGAAAACTACGGTTCTTTTCTAAACAGCAAAAGCTATGCAGATCTATGTTATTAATAAAAAACGAAATTATATCTTTTTCTTACTTCATACATCTACAGGCCCGGCGTATGGAATTGTGAACTACACTTAAAATTTAACTTAATAGAAATCCACACCAAAGAAATAAAAAAATTAGTTCAAAAATCAAATATGCAAAAGTGACTAAATAACTTGGCTGTAGGAGACACTGGTCAAAAGTAACGCGGATGCGTTGTAAGACATACATAAAAAGCGTCATAAATAAAAGCGTAAGGAAAAGATTAGAAGTGTGTGATTATTTAGAATATAGTAGTGTATAATTATGTTACGAGTCCCGTCTTCTCTACTACATATCCATAAGGATACAGCGAAGGACATAGACAATAACTTGAAATGAGTAAATTCATTAACAGAAATCAACGGAGTGCGGTAAATTTTGCAATTGTAAATGACATTAAGATTAAAAACAAACAAATAAAAGAAATCATCACTTCGTTGTCTGATCACTTATTTCCTCATTCGGTCGAAATTTTTACACTTATAGGTGAATCAGACGCCATGACTGTAAAATTACAAACATGACAAATACCTTATTTTTGTTCCTAATGGCTTCACTGATAAGATAATATAGGTGCTACATATTACTATGTATGTACACACAATAAGTATAAATGTCATAATAATACCAATGTAAAAGACTTTTAATGAGACTATAATTATGATTATACGAAGGTTATATAATGACATTTTTGAAAACATTTTCAAATATGTCGTATAAAAAAGATGTAAATAACAAGTAGTTCTTGTCGCATTGGCATTTGCAATATATGTGTCTATTAGTGCAGTTCTCAATTATATATTTTATTATATAACTTATTTTACTATAAAACGCCTATACAAAATTCCTCAACTAAAGTAATATTTTACACAATAAATTTCTTACAATGCTTTCAAGATATTTATTAGCATCAATAGTATTAAATTGCTAATCAATTTAATTTGTGATATTGCGTACACTTTATTCAATTTAAGAGTATGTTTCCTAGACTACGAATAACACTGAGGAATATCATTTTGCGTAAATGTGAATAGTCATGTCCGATATATTTATTGATGCAAAATTTTAAGAAATATGGCGTTGAAAGGGCCAAAAAATCCCCTTTGATGCCATTTTTCTTAAAATTGACGTGATAACCAATTTTTGCCAACTGGGAAAATCATATCGAAAACTATTTACACTCGTGTAACTTAAAAAAAGTCTAATTTTGTTCTAGTGTAATCAGCACGCAGTTTGTTTAAACTTGTTAAAAAGTTACAGAATTACATAATACCACACACAAGTTCTTATTTGTGATAAATTATTATAAAGTAAATAATTTATTCATCTCAATAACATAAATCTATAAAAACGTTTAATTATACAGTCTGGTAACGATGTTTCGTCAAAAAATTGTATATTTCGAAAGAAAATTTATCACGAGGACACAAGCTAACGTACATTGATGGAAAACGATAACTATGAAGAAAGAAACTAGAAAAATAAGAGCGCATTGCTGTTGATGTAAACAACGAATGAATAATTGACTAATGTATGTTGTTTTAATTCATTTTATATAATTTTAATTTTATACTGAAGATGGTCATATTATTGACCGAAACGTTTATATAGATTTATGTTATTGAAAGAGATGAATAAATTATTTACTTTATAATAATTTATCACAAATAAGAACCTGTGTGTGGTATTATGCTTATTGTATGAAATTGTTTTTCGAATAGAACCACATTTTTAAGAGTTTTATATATTACACATTATACTTTAAAACCTGTCTCGACCGAAAATGATCTCCTTCGTTCATTAGTGTTGAATTAGTGTGAATTTTTCAGTATATTTTCACTTAACAATTATTATTTCATCATATAGCTAAAAATCGCAAAAGATGTAACTATTAAAGAATGCAATAATCTTCAAACATTTGTTAGTTAACGCTATTTACATTCTAAAAGTAAATTCTATTTGTTGAAAAAACTTTAATCACATTACTTTCATGCAATTTGTGTTCTTCAAAAAAATGCTGTCAAAGGACTCATTGTATTTCGCGAAGCAAATTTATTGTAAATGTCAAAATAAAACATAAGTAGTGAAATCTACTTTAACAATAAAAACAAAGAAACATTTCGATCGTTCTTTTCTTTCGAAAATCTTAATATAGAGTTGTATTAGCAACATGTTTTTTTAATAAAAGGTCATCTTAAGAATATATCTCTTGGCACTCGCATTTCTAACTTTCAAGATAAACTTATATCCCAGCGAAGACTCTATCATTACTGTAAACTATTCGCCACTGTAAAAAATGGGACATTTATTTGCTTTGCTTATTCTATCTATGGTAATTGTGAGTTTTGGAGACAAACTGAATTTTGTTCATAAATGGAAATATTGTGAATTTGAATGGGAAAATCAGCAACAAAAAGAAGATGCGATAAATTCTGGAACTTACAACCCTAGCAGATGCTTGTTCCACGGAGCGACTAAAGCAGAAGGTAGGTTGATAGTACACTATTAGAAAAAATTAAAATGATTTTGTACTGTGGGTTGGTTATCGGGAACAACAATAAACTCACGAATGAATAGAGTCTTGCTAGGTAATCTTCATTATAATATAACAAGGTTATATAAGTCCTGCTTGTCAGGATAGCTAAACAGCGACTAGCCGTGATGCTCGCAAGGATCGCGCGACGTTAGCGCGGTGGGGTCAATGCTTAATCAGGCACTATCTGATTTCCGATAGCTAATCTTCGCGGCTTCGAGGATCCGCGTGTCGATTATTTCTGCTACGGAAATTTCCGGTAGCGACAAGCTCTCGTAAGAAGCCTTTCGAACGTTCTTCTTAGAACGATAACTGACTTACATGGTACACACATACTAATAACGAAAATATACCTTCAGTACAAAAATATTTTTAGTATGCAATATAGCGTATGGTTATAATATTTAACTATTATGTGAACATATGAATTTATACGTTATATATATATTATAATATATAATATGTAATGTATATAATCCTATTATATATGTATATAATTCCAATGTTGTTAATGCAACGAATAGCGTTAATACTGCCATGAAATTCAAGAAATAAATATTCTTTAGTATCACACGTAATCGCTGTTTATAAATAAAATTCTTATAGATGGTAGAGTATTCGTCACTAACCCAAACATTGGTGGTCCTGGATCACCTGCTAGTTTGTCGATTGTAACAAATGAGACAGGACCAGGGGGTCCTCTTTTACGTCCATATCCAGATTGGAGTTGGCATAATAATAACAGTATGTGCAATGGTATTATAAACGTTTATAAACTGCATGTAAGTATTAATATCTTTTGTTTAAATGGATTTTTAACAAATCTAATATTTTTTAAATATAATAATGTAAGCCATCTTTTTAGGTGGTATAAGTTCAATTAAAAAAAAAAATAATTAATGTCAGTTTTAAACAGAAACATAGATCTATGTTTAATTAAAACTGGTATTAACTCATTTTTTTTAATTGGACTTTAAAAAAACGGCTTATATGTGTAACAAAATAATATATATTATAATATTAATCAACAGTCTATTATATATTACGCATACCCACATATTCTCTCAGCTTAATAATCATGAATGAAATTGAATTTTGACTTTCATCTTACATGTTAATTTTTTATCTTAATCTCCTGTTAGATTCAATGCAACCACATCTTTGTTATGGATAACGGCCAATCCCAAGAAACCGAACAAATTTGTGATCCAAAACTATTGATCTTTGATTTAAAAAATGATATGCTGGTTAAAACTATTTACATCCCACCTGATATTGCCAATAACAAAACAGGCTTTGGATTATTAATGAATCCTTTAGTTTATATTCCAAATAAAGAATGCACGCGCTTTCTGGATGAAATGATTGTAAGAGTGTCTTCTATTTTAATCACAATAGTACATATTTGTACGCAAATGTTATATAGTTACACGTTTACTTACATATATCTCGTATTTTACATATTTAAACATTCTGATAAACATATAAAAATACGTATAGGTATTTGTGGCTGATTCGATAGGTTTCGGTTTAGTAGTGTATGATTCGTCTACAGAGCGTATGTGCAGAGTCGAATCCGATTATATGAAACCGACTGATGCTAATTTCGTCATAGACGACCAAAATGTTACTTATGGAGGTGGTATCTTCAGTTTGACAATCATATGCGATGGCAAGTATTTGATTTTTAACATAATTGAATCTTATCGCGGATATTAAAATTTTTAATTTATATGATACTTACACCATTTCCATTTGTAAATTTTTTTGTTCCATGTTTATATACATTTATACCATTACAATCCATATTACACTTCGTTGCAAATAATCAAAAGTATTTTGCCATGGTGTTTATAATCTTATTTCTTTTTATAAATATTTTAGAACTTTATTATGCTCCCGTAGCAGGAAACGAAATATATAAAATAAAAATAAAGACGCTATTGGAATGTCCAAATAAAGAAAAGGCTAATAAACAAACTAAACTTGTTAAAGAATTATCGAGTCAAACAATAGATATCTCATCAACGGAACATTACATATTTTACTCTGATAGTCGAACAAATTCTATTGTAGGCACAAGCTCTTGTACGAAATCTAATAACAACATAGTAAGATATCTAAATGCAATTATTCTTTATATATTAATCACTGGGAAATAATTTCGAATTTTCTTAACTATGATATTAACATAATTTTACATTTATATGTAATAGTTATTGGTATAATTTTATGGTTGTAAAATAAAACTGTATAATAATTTTCAGGTAATACTCGCGCAAGACGATGAAAAATTACAAGTTATGAGTACAACGAAAATTATATCTTACTGGGATCAACTAATAGGCCTATCAAATAGATTTCAGAAATATGCTACTGACACGTATAATCTAAGTGACATAAATTTCCACTATTTTGAAATGGAATTAGCTAAAATACTGGAGGAAATGGATTAACGCTATTATCTTTGTTCATATTTTTTAACATATTTTAATATAATATTATATACGTAAGATTTCAGTTTATATACATATATATGGGGCGTTCTCTTTTTAAATCGGCCACCTCCCTGCCTAAAAAAATTTCAATTCTTGAGATAAAATTCTTTAAAAGGGCTTAAAACTTTGCTTTTGAAATATCTATTTTTCGATACCGTATGGCGTTTTTGAAAATTCAAAATGGCGGACCTAAAATGGCGACTGGAATGAAAAAAGACATTGGAAAAATTAACGATATTGTAAATAAATGTTCACGATATCTGGAGAAAAGGTTTAGGCTGCTAATCTTGAAAAGAAACGTATATGGAAAACTAAGAAATGACTATAACATAGGTAACTTATACTATTGTATTTCCCTTATAGTTTTATATATACGTTTCTTTTCAAAAATAAATGCCGCGATCATGTTCGTGTGTATGATAAGGCTTTTTACTTGAGTCCCCTTGCCTCCCACGTGTATTTGCGCGCGCGTTTGTGTGTGTGAGAGTGCGGCGATCGCGAACACGTGTGACTATGTGGATGTGAATATACTATAAAATTTATTTTTAATTTTTTATCCTTTACTGTCTTCCTTGTAATTACAATAGTGTTCCATTTAAATCGTTGGAATACCTTTTGATTAATACATTATTTTCGCGCCCGCAAGTATAAATGTATAATTCTTGTGGAAGAGGTCGCGCAGCTTCAAATCACTTATTAAGTCTTCTTCTTATCTTCTCACGATCAGTTCCTTTAAATAAAAAATCCTTATGTTTTTCTTGAAAGGTTTTCTAGTACAATTAAAAAGAATTTCGGGTGTTAATGTTGCGTCCTATGGCTTAGCAACAAGACTTGCTGTATATACTTTTTTAAACGTAGTACCGATCGCATCATGACCTTTTACCATGCGCAGTGGCATTATAATATCACTCTGCTTCAACATTAAAATCTTCATGATGAACTAAATTAGCAATTTGAAATTTATTTTTAAAGTACTGTTTCGCCCCAACAGTCATGTATATTTTTTAAAATTCATGTATATTTTTTAAGATTTTTGACGTCTTTTCAGGATTAATATACATACCTGTTTTTAAATTCAACTATAAAAAAATCTGAACATTTATAAATACCTACTGTGAAAGAAAAATTTTTGGTAACTATATAATTACATATCATACAACATACTTTATCCCATAGATCTTTCTAAGAACGTTCTCAGGACGTTCATTAGACTATCGAAGATTTTTACTATATAGGATGTTATCATAACTGTTATTAATATTTAGTATAGTATGAGCGGGCTCAGGAATAATACGGAATGTCACGAAAAACTCTTTTTTCTTTGCCTGGCAAACGAAAAAGTCGCAATAGATAAACGACATTTTCTGACAACTCATGTAATAGCCATATCCCTTCCTTATGAATCTTTCCCATGGCATGCAAGCGTTTTGAGACGGCCTTTGGAGTAACATTTAACGCTTTCGACAACTCTAAAAGCGTTTCAGCTGGATTCTCATTAAGCAATTCTTGTAACTCGACATCCTCAAATTTTTTCGGCTGTCCTAGACGTTCTTTGTCTGTCACATTAAAATCACCATTTCGAAAGCGTTCAAACTAAACACTACATGTTCCTTCCGATGGAGTTTCATCACCATCATACACTTCGAATAATTTAGCGAAGCGCTTCAGCTGCGGTTCTCTTGAAATAGTGAAGAAGCACATGTCGGAAAAAAAGCTTATCGCGATTCATTTTTAATCGATTGGATAATCTCTTTTGCGTCGAGAAATCTAACCTGTGAGGATTGAATCACTTTCAGCAATGTCTAAACTATAAAAGACATACGACTTCATCATCGAAACTCGCCAGCGTAGGAGTCAGCACTCTCTATAGCAGCGAGCGGCAGGAATTAAGTTGAACATCTAATATATTGATATATGATGTAATCAAGAAATATTGCGACAAGCACTTTAAATGTGCGTACATGTATCATTCGGTTTAACTGTTAATAAAGAAAAGTTTTAGTAAGCAATTACATCTTTCTTGTCTGACCTTATACACATCTATGAAGATAACAAATACTTTATTTTCGTTCGTAATGGCTTCACTGATAAGATAATATAGGTACTACATGTTATTATGTACACACAATAAATATAATATTTCGTAATAATACCAATACCAATAAAAGCCTCTTAATGAGACTATAATTATGAATATACGTAGGTTATATAAAGAAATTTTTGAAAATATTTTCACATATGTCGTATAAAAAAGACGTAAGTAACAAGTAATTCTTGTCGCATTTGTATTTGCAATATATGTGTCTAATGTTGCAGTTCACAATTATATATTTTATTATATAACTTATTTTACTGTAAAAAAAAAAAAACCGTCTGTGTACAAAATTCCCTTGTGATATTTTACACAATAAATTTATTTACAGTACTTTCAAGATACTTATTAGCATCAATAGTATTAAATTGCTATTCAATTTAATTTGTGATATTGCGTACACTTTATTCAATTAAAGAGTGTGTTTCCAAGACTACAAATAACACTAAGGAAAATCATATTGCGTAAATGTGAATAGTCATGTCCGATATATTTATTGAAGCAAAATTTTGAGAAATATGGCGTTGGAAGGGTTAAAAAAACCCCTTTGATACCATTTTTCTCAAAATTGTGACGTGATAACCAATTTTTGCCAACGCGGAAAAACATGTCGAAAAGGACTATTCACACTCGTATAACAAAAAAATGTCTAATTTTGTTACAGTGTAATCGGCACACAGATTGTTTAAACTTGTTAAGAATTTACACAATATATTATTAAAACCCGTCATGACCGAAAATGATCTTCGTTCATTTGTGTTAAATTAGTGTGAATTTTTCAGTCTATTTTCACTTAACAATTATTCATCATAGTAAGCGATTTTATATAGCTAAAAAATCGCAAAAACATGTAACTATTAAAGAATGCAATAATCTTCAAACATTTGTTAGTTAACGCAACTTACATTCAACAAGTAAATTCTATTATATAATATATCTAATTCTATTATATTATCATATATAAATTCTATTATATAAAAATTCTATTCTATTACATAAAAATTAAGTCATATTTTTGAATTCTATTTGTTGAAAAAACTTTAATCACACATTACTTTCAAGCAATTTGTGTCCTCCAAAAAAATGCTGTTGAAGGACTCATTGTATTTCACGAAGCAAATTTATTGTAAACGTCAAAATGCATGCAACATAAGTAGTGAAATCTATTTTAACAATAAAAACCAGTGAACAATAAAAACAAAGAAACATTTACATCGTTCTTTTCTTCCGAAAATCTTAATACAGAGTTGTATTAGCAACATTTTAATAAATATTTTTTATTAAAAGGACATCTTTAGAATATTTCTCTTGGCACCCGCATTTCTAACTTCCAAGATAAAATATCCCAGCGAAGACTCTTACTCTGTACCCTGAGCAGCACATTATTACTGTGAACTATTCGCCACTGTAAAAAATGGGAAATTTATTTGCTTTACTTATACTATCCATGGTAATTGTGAGTTTTGGAGACAAACTGAATGTTGTTCATAAATGGAAATATTGTGAATTTGAATGGGAAAATCAGCAGCAAAAAGAAGATGCGATAAATTCTGGAACTTACAACCCTAGCAGATGCTTGTTCCTCGGAACGACTAAAGCAGAAGGTAGGTTAATTGATAGTACACTATTAGAAAAAATTAAAATGATTTTGTACTGTGGGTTGGTTATCGGGAACAATAATAAACTCACGAATGAATAGAGTCTTGCTAGGTAATCTTCATTATAATATAACAAAGTTATAATATAAGTCCTGCTTGTCAGGATAGCTAAACAGCGACTAGTCGTGATGCTCGCAAGGATCGCGCGACGTTAGCGCGGTGGGATCAATGCCCTTTTGCTTAATGAGGCACTATCTGATGATTTCCGATAGCTAATCTTTGCGGCTTCGGGGATCCGCGTCGGTTATTTCTGCTACGGAAATTTCCGGTAGCGACAAGCTCGCGTAAGAAGCCTTTCGAACGTTCTTCTTAGAACGATAACTGACTTATCCATACTAATAACGAAAATAAGCCTTCAGTACAAAAATATTTTTAGTATGCAATAGCATATAGTTATAACATTTAACAATTATATGAACACATATTATGAATTTATACGTTATGTATATATTATAATACATAATATATAATGTATATAATCTGTACTCCAATGTTATTAATGCAGGGAATAGCATTACTACTGTTATAAAATTCAAGAAATAAATATTTTTTAGTAACACACGTAATCGCTGTTCATAAATAAAATTCTTATAGATGGTAGAATATTCGTCACTACCGCAAAAGTAGGTGGTCCTGGATCACCTGCTAGTTTGTCGATTGTAACAAATGAGACAGGACCAGGGGGTCCTCTTTTACGTCCATATCCAGATTGGAGTTGGCATAATAATAACAGTATGTGCAATGGTATTATAAACGTTTATAAACTGCATGTAAGTGTTAATATCTTTAGTTCGAAAAGATTTTTAACAAATCTAATATCTCTTAAATTTTTAATGATATAAGCCATTTCTTTAAGTGGTATATGTTCAATTAAAAAGAAAAATAATTAATTCCAGTTTTAAACAAAAACATAGATCTATGTTTAATTAAAACTAGCATTAACTCATTTTTTTAAAATGGACGTATACCGCTTTAAAAAAGCGGCTTATACATGTAACGATATAATATATATAATACTATTAATCACAATCAATAGTCTAATATATATATATTACGCACACCCATATATTCTCTCAACAGTCAGCTTAATAATCATGAATGAAATTGAATTCTGACTTTCATTTTACATGTTTATTTTTTATCTTAATCTCTTGTTAGATTCAATGCAACCACATCTTCGTTATGGATAACGGCCAATCCAGAGAAACCGAACAAATTTGTGATCCAAAGCTACTGGTCTTTGATTTAAAAAATGATATGCTGGTTAAAACTATTTACATCCCACCTAATATTGCGAATAACAAAACAGGCTTTGGATTATTAATAGACCCTTTAGTTTATGTTCCAAATAAAGAGTGCACGCGCTTTCTGGATGAAATGATTGTAAGTGTGTCTTCTATTTTAATCACAATAGTACATATTCGTACGCAAATGTTATTTAGTTACACGTTTATTTACATATCTCGTATATTTAAACATTCTGATAAACTTTTAAAAATACGTATAGGTATTTGTGGCTGATTCGATAGGTTTCGGTTTAGTAGTGTATGATTCGTCTACAGAGCGTATGTGCAGAGTCGAATCCGATTATATGAAACCGACTGATGCTAATTTCGTCATAGACGACCAAAATGTTACTTATGTACGCGGTATCAACAGTTTGACAATCATATGCGATGGCAAGTATTTGATTTTTAACATAATGAATATTATTTTAATTGTAAAATTGAATCTTATCGCGAATATTAAAATTATGTACTTATATGTTAAACTGATGCTTACACTATTTTCATTTGTAAATTCCTTTTTTTTCAATATTTATATACATTTATACGATTGAATCCATATTACACTTTGTTGCAAATAATCAAAAACAATTGGCCATGATGTTTGTAATCTTATTTCTTTTTATAAATTTTTTAGAACTTTATTATGCTCCCGTAGCAGGAAACGAAATATATAAAATAAAAATAAAGACGCTATTGGAATGTCCAAGTAGAGAAAAGGCTAATAAACAAACTAAACTTATTAAAGAATTATCTAGTCAAACAACAGATATTTCATCAAAGGAACATTACATATTTTACAATGATGTTCGAACAAATTCTATTCTAGGCACAAACTCTTGTGCGAAATCTAATAACAACACAGTGAGATATCTAAATACAATTATTCTTTACATACTTATTAATCGTGTGCAAATAATTCCGAATTTTCTTAACTGCATGTTATATTAACATAATTTTATATTTATACGTAATTGTTATTGGTATAATTTTATGGTTGTAAAATAAAACTGTATAATAATTTTCAGATAGTACTCGCGCAAGACGATGAAAAATTGCAAGTTATAGGTTCAATGGAAATTATATCTTACTGGGATCAACTAATAGGCCTATCAATTAGATTTCAGAAATATGCTACCGATACGTATAATCTAAGTGACATAAATTTCCGCTATTTTGAAATGGATTTAGCTGCAATATTGCAGGAAATGGATTAACGCTATTAACTTTGTGCTTGTTCATATTTTAACATATTTTAATATAATATTATTATATATACGTAAGATTTCAGTATATATATATATATATATATATTGAGATAAAATTCTTCATGGAATGAAAAAAGACATTGGAAAAATTAATGATATCGTAAATAAACGTGCACGATATATGATGAAGAAGTCTGGGCTGCTATACTTGAAAAGAAACGTATACGTAAAACTTCTAGAAAATGACTATAATAATGTAACGTATCCTATTGTATTTTTCCCTAGTTTTACATATACGTTTCTTTTCAAGATTAAGGGCCCTAACCATGTGCGTGCGTATGACAATTTTCATCCCATTGGGATGTTTAAGTTATGTGAGTCCCCTTGCCTCTCACGTGTATGCTCGATTGCTCGCGTGCGTTTGTGGGTGTGTGTGCGCTAGCGCGATTATGTGAATGAATGTACAATAGCATTTATTTTTAATTTTTTATTCTGTACTTTCTTCCCCATAACTACAATAGTGTTCCATTTACATCGTTGCGAATACCTTTTGATTAATACTTTATTTTCGCCCCCAAAATATAAATCTATAATTCTTGTAGAACAGGCTGCGCAGCTTCAAATCTCTTATTAAGTTTTCTTCTTATCTTCTCACGATCAGTTTTTTTTTAAATAAAAAATCCTTATACTCTTGAAAGGTTTTCTAGCACAATTGAAAAGAATTTCGGGTGTTAATATTGCGTCCTGTGGCTTAGCAACAAGACTTGCTCTATATACTTCTCTTTTAAACGTAGCACCGATGACATCATAACCTTTTACCATGCGCAGTGGCACTATAATGTCACTTTGCTTGAACATTAAAATCTTATTTATGATGAAGTAAGTTAGCAATTTTTGAAATTTATTTTTAAAGTGCTGTATCGCTCCATCAGTAATGTACATTATTTAAGATTCACGTATATTTTTTAATATTTTTAATACATCTTTTGAGCATTAATTTACAAACCTTTTAAATTCAACTTTAAAAAATTCTGATTATTTGTAAATACCTACTGTGAAAGAAAAATTTTTGGTAACTATAATTACATACTATACGACATACTTTATCCTATAGATCTTCCTAAGTACGTTCTCAAGACATTCTTTAAATTTAGACTATCTCTTGAAGATTTCTCTATATAGGATGTTATCATAATTGTTATTACTACTTAGTATCGTATGAGCGAGCTCATACAATACAAAGTATTATTATTAATACAAAGAAACTTCAACGAATTATCGAAAGAGCGGCAACTGTGCTGATTATTACAAAATGTGTGCATTTCATTTCTCTATTCCTTATATGTAACGTACCACATTAATTATATATTTAGATTTTAATCTGAGAAAAAAATTCAAGGATTTTTATTTCACAATAGAAAAATTAAAAAAAATATATGTGACATAAACAAAATGCAGTCAAATTTTTGAATAATAAATGGTTTTGACACGGTTTATAGATACACAGATATTCGGACATCAATACTGATACTTATATATGTATTAAGTGTACAAAAAAGTTCTAAGCTTTTTTTGTCAAATCTATGTAATAATCGTATGTAATCGTACGGAAATGGCTTGCTGCGTAACCAGCGTAACGCCAAACTGTTCTGCAATCTCCTTTTCAGTTTGCGCAGAGTTTATATCCAGCAGTGCTTGCAATTCGTCCGTTTCAATCTTTTCAGGGCGTCCAGCACGCGATTAGTCTTTAAGACTGAAATCTCCTTGGCGAAACTTTTGATACCATCTTTTACATGTAGCATGACTTACAGCGTTCTCTCCATATGCAGCACAAATCATTGCAGTGGCTTCAGCAGCATTTTTCTTCAGATGAAACGCGAAGTGGATGGAAAATCGAATATGTTCTTTTGTTATTGCCATCGTGAACACTACTGATTTTTGAGGTTATGTGCATCAAACGCTAAAGCGTATGACATTTTAAAAGGCCAAATGTTAACGCTTTAAAACCGCAAAAGGGCAGGAAGATGTATAAAATTTATATTGTTATTTCGGTTGTATGAAATCTAAAGCTCAGAACTTTTTTGTACACCTAGTATATATATTTTTTTGGCTTCGAGAAATAAAAAGAATATAATATATAGGATATAATATAATAAATATTGATATATAAGATACAATCAAGAAATGTTGCGACAAGCACTTCGAATGTGCGTACCTGTATATCATTCGGTTTAACTGTTAATAAAGAAGTTATAGTAAGCAATTACATCTTTTTTTGTCTGACCTTATACAGGCCTATAAAGATAATGAATACTTTATTTTCCATTCCTGATGGTTTCATTGATAAGATAATTTTCTATTTATATAGTATATATTATTAATGATTAATACGTTAAACAGGGCGAATAATTATATATTATTATACACACGCAGTCATTGTTATATAACTGTTATATTTGATAGAACAATTTTATCATTTTAAAAGAAAATATTAATTTTAAGATGTTACTTGCTCAATATTAAGAAAAATTTCAATGTGTAAGTTCAATGACAGTTTCAAGCCATTGGGATATGCTAACATGCATATCAGATACACTAAATTTAAAAGAAATAAACTTTCGCCATTTTGATATGGAATTATCAGAAATACTAAAAGAGATGAATCACACAAAGTGAATAAATTAGTATAAAAACTATGGAAAACTACAGTTCTTTTCTAAACAACAAAATCCGTGCAGATCTATATGTTATTAATAAAAAACGAAATTATATCTTTTTCTTACTTTATACTATACATCTACAGGCCCGGCGTATGGAATTGTGAACTACACTTAAAATTTGACTTAACGGAAATCCACACTTAAGAAATAAAAAAATTGGTTTAAAAATAAAATATGCAAAAGTGACTAAACAACTTGGCTGTAGGGGACACTGGTCAAAAGAAACGCATATGCGTTTTAAGACATACATAAAAAGCGTCATAAATAAAAGCGTAAGGAAGAGATTAGAAGTGTGTGATTAATTAGAATATAGTAATGTATAATTATGTTACGTCCCGTCCTCTCTACTACATATCCATAAGGATACAGCGAAGGATATAGACAGTAACTTGAAATGAGTAAATTCATTAACAGAAATCAACGAAGTAAATTTTACAATTGCAAATGACATTAAGATTAAAAAAAAACAAATAATAAAAATCATCACTTTGTTGTCTGATCACAGACAGTCACTTATTTACAGGAAATGGAAGAGTTACTTTTACAGTTACTTTTTATAACAATGTGGTATCAACGTTGCAATTTTTTATGACTATAATGATAACTAACTAAACGCTTAAGAGGTCAAAATAATTTCAGCCTCTTAAGCGTTTAGTTACTTATCATTACAGTCATAAAAAATTGCGACATTGCAACAACATAATTAACAAATACATCATTTTCATTCCTAATGTCTTCACTAATGTCAATAATACCAATGTAAAAGACTTTTAATGAGACTATAATTATGACTATACGTAGGTTATATAATGAAATTTTTGAAAATATTTTCACATATGTCGTATAAAAAAGATGTAAATAACAAATAATTCTTGTTGCATTTACATTTGTAATATATGTGTCTGTTGGTGCAGTTCATAATTATATAATTTATTATATTACTTATTTTACTATAAAACGCCTGCACAAAATTCCTCATCTTGTGATATTTTACACAACAAACTTATTTACAATACTTTCAAGATACTTATTAGCATCAGTAGTATCAAATTGCTAATCAATTCAATTTGTGATATTGCGTACTCTTTATTCAATTTAAGAGTGTGTTTCCAAAACGACAAATAACAAAATGAGGAATATCATTTTGCATAAATGTGAATAGTCATGTCCGATATATTTATTAATGTAAAATTTTGTGAAATATGGCGTTGGAAAGGTTAAAAATCTCCTTTGATGCCATTTTTCTACAAATTGTGACGTGATAACCAATTTTTGCCAACTCGAAAAATCATGTCGAAAATGACTATTCACTTACGTGTAACAAAAAATGGTCTAATTTTGTTCCAGTGCAATCAGCACACAGTTTATTTAAACTTGTTAAAAATTTACACAATATATTATTAAAAAATATTATATTACCCGTCTTGACCGAAAATGTTCTTCGTTCATTTGTGTTAAATTTGTGTGAATTTTTCAGTCTATTTTTGCTTAACACAATTATTATTTCATCATAGTAAGCGATTTCATATAGCTAAAAATCGCAAAAAGATAAAGAATGCAATAATCATCAAACATTTGTTAATTAACGTAACTTACATTCTACAAGTAAATTCTATTTGTTGAAAAAACTTTAATCACAATACTTTCATGCAATTTGTGTCCTCCAAAAAATACTGTAAAAGAACTCATTGTATTTTGCGAAGCAAATTTATTGTAAACGTCAAAATGTGTGAAACATAAGTAGTGAAATCTATTTTATCAATATAAACCCATAAACAATAAAAACAAAGAAACATTTAGATCGTTTTTTTTCTTTCGAAAATCTTAATACAAAGTTGTATTAGCAACATTTTAATAAATGTTTTTTATTAAAAGGACATTTTTGGAATATTTCTCTTGGGACTCGCATTTCTAATTTTCAAGATAAACTTATATCCCAGCGAAGACTCTTATTTTATACCCTGCGCAGCATTACTGTAAACTGTTCGCCTCTGTAAAAAATGGGACATTTATTAGCTTTGTTAATTCTATGGATGGCAATTATGAGCTTTGGTGTTAAACTGAATGTTGTTCATAAATGGAAATATTGTGAATTCGAATGGGAAAATCAGCAACAAAAAGAAGACGCGATAAATTCTGGAACTTACAACACTAGCAGATGCATGTTAGGCGGAGTGAGTAAAGCAGAAGGTAAGTTGATAACAGACTATTAGAAAAAATTAAAATAATTTTTTACAAAAATATTTTTAGTATGCAATAGCGTATGATTATAATATTTAACTATTAGAT